ACATGCCCTTGACCGGAATCGAACCTGGGACCCTTCAGTCCGCAGGCCGACGCTCTATCCACTGAGCCAAACCAGTTTCGGCAACTGATTTTTTTTAAGTCATCTATCTGTCCTGACATGGAGAAAAGTTCAGGAAATAGTAAGTAAAAGATAAAATTTAAAGTTGCAGAACAGAGTGCATAATGTAATGCCATCTTTGGGGAGAAAAAAAAGTTTAGTTCTCTGCAGCTAGACTAATGTCTGGGAGGAAAAACACTGGTCAACCTTATGGGATGTCCATGGAGAAGAACTTACATTCTTTATTTTATGTACTTTGATATTATTTCATCTGCTTAATATATTTTCTTTAATATCTCTAAGTAGATCTCATCTCTCTAAAAGTCTATCACAGCTATGAAACTATGAGAGTTGTCTATATCTGACTCTCTGCTCATCTCTGTGGACAAAACAAGGAATATATAACCATTACCCTCAAGAAGTGGAGAAGGGGGAGTGCGGAGTGCTTCAGGCAGCAGCCAACATGAGCAGGAAGTGCTCCAAAGCAGAGAAGGGTATGATGGGTTCAAGAAAGTGTGCAGGGGACCCCTGCTTGGAGCACAGGGTGGCTCAGGGTGACCAGGACAAGACAATGTTCACAAGTAGCATGAACCAGCTTGAATGACCTTGACTCACAGGCTTAGAAATTGTATCTTTATTTTGAAGGCAATTTGTGGCTGATAAAGAGAGCACTGAGGATTTTATGAATCAGGTTAGTGGGGCTCCATCAGGAGAGGCTGGTCAGCTGTGAGAGCCCAGAATCAATCAGATAATTAGCAGTTTAAACACTGAAAGTGCATATTCTAGAAGTGATACCTCTTGCATTGAGAGTAACCTAATGTATTGAGGATTTAATTATTCTATGAAAGAAACAACACTCTTTAAGACACATCTTTGCAATCCTGAATGGTACTCTATGAAAATAGTCCAATGTTCTGACCTCATATCCCTCTACGGCTACCTGATTAGTTGCTAGGGAAGAGGAACAATGAAAATATGAGAAACATGGAAGGTTCTGGTGTCCTTGCATCACGACAAAGTTAGCCCAGCTTCCCTGCTCTGACCCTGAGACTTCTGCCTCTAGTTTCCCTCGCTGCTCTTGGATGTTTCCTTCATTTTGACTCTTCACTGTGTGCTGGTGTGTTACACACTGACAACTGTGTGCTCTTCCCTCTTCCAACATCCAAGGCCCTGGCTAGCCTTATCAGCCTTGCCTCTCATCTCCCATAAGCACTTGAGTGTTCTTTCCCCCAGTTAGTGCTGAGTGGGAGGGATGCCAGGGTGGGAGGTGAGAGGTTGGATCACATGGGCAGAGCTCTTCCACAGCGCAGCGTCTGGGCTTCCTGCTCACGACTGTTACAAATAAATAAGTAACCTAATTAATTAATAAGCAAAAACAAAAAAAAGACTCTTCATTCCACATCTGCAGACTAGAAATAAACATATAAGAACAAGAATGAGACAGGCAATAGTGGTTATGCTAAGAGGCAAATGTAAGGAGATCCAGTGGAATGGATTAAATTCTTTCATGTCCTTTTTAAATTGTTGCCAGACATCTAAGGAATTAGTTTGCAGTAAGTTCCTTTCTGGGCTAACAGTTCTTTAAGTCCCCTTTCCAGTCACTGTCCAACAGTTGTTTTTCTTTTTAATTAAAAATATATTTTTATTGATTTCAGAAAGGAAAGGAGAGGGAGAGAGAGAGAGAAACATCAATGGTGAGAGAATCATTGATCGGCTGCCTCCTGCACACCCCCTACTGGGATTCCCAAGGGTATAAGGTACTATTATAGGGAACGGGGGTAACACAAATCTGGGAAAAATTATAATGGCACTGCAAAGATATTCTTTGCTCTAAGCTGTGGATTTTATCACCCATCCACATGACTGTAGACTTTAGTGCCAATAATTCTATCTCATACTGGCTGTCAATTCTTTTTTGTATAGACAAGGTCTTAGTTATATTTTCCTTAACTTGTTGTACAAACTGAAAAGTTTGAACAGTTTGTACTATGGATAAAGTAGCAATGCCCACAGAAGAAAGTAACATTACGAGGGCAAAGATTCCTGAAATTAACATTCCAATAAATTTTTTTTGTCGTTTTAAGATTTTTACCAGATCATGTGACAGTTGGTAGGTTTGATGAGATTCCCAAGGTTCGCTTAGGTTAGTAGGAACCCAAGCGAAAGCAGGCTGTTTTAAAAGCATGAGGGGATCTTTTTGGAATGTAGAATTAATACAATGTGATAATGTGCAGCCTGTGCATGACACTTTGCTTGTAGCATTAAGGCGTATCTGGATGGGGCCTGAGAGAAGTACAAACAGATCAAATCCACAGGCGGTGGCAAATACTGTCTTATTGGGAGTTCCCCATAAGGTACAAATGGAATTATCTGAGCTATAGTTAAAACTATACCATTTAATAGGTGCAAGTGCAGCAGCTAATTTCTATTGCGTATTTTGTAGGGGCCAATTGTCATGTTGTAATTGAGATCCAACAAATCCTCCTCCATGCCATGAGATGGAGTGATTAGCTTCAACATATAGATAGGATGTGGTCCCCTTCCATTTTATGGTGCTACTGTTATTACACACAGAACCGCGGAACCGTAGGGGCTCTAATGTATAAAGGAAAAACTGTTATTAAGTTTGCTGCTGGTGGGGTAGTCACTATAACAGTCTTGCCAATTAATTTCTTCCTCAGTGAGGTGCCATTCATAAGACTTTTTACATAATGGCTTAGTGGGGGGGTTTGGGGGCGTGTCTTAGTAAAGTTACATTTTCTGTACCTCTCCCCAGAGCAAGTAGTTATAATAGATGTATTTGGGCTTTTGCTTCCCCCTCCTTTGGTATCCATGCTAGCCAGAAGCCTCTCTTTAATTCTACACACAAAGGAGCAGTGGTTTGATTCTGTGTCATACAAAAGGGAAGCTGGGTGGCGAGACCCGTGTAATTATACTTTGCTCATTTACTCCCTTGTCCCACACGTGGTCCTCCTGGATGACCAAGGTGTTTGGTGTTATTGGTGACTACATTAGGCGGGGGATCAGCCCACACAAGGGGTCTTACCCATGGTGGGTGAGGAACATAAGTCCAAAATACTTCCCCATTTGCCCCTGGTAGTATTACCACACAGCTGATGACTGCTAGCATGGCAAGAAAGACGTTCTCAGGCGTTCACGGGGTTTGGTATCTTCACAAATTCGCTCAGCTTCCTGGACCATCTTCTTCACCATCCCCCAGGTGACCTCTGGGCTGTTTGTTGTCTGCCTTGTCCTTCTCCCACTCCTTATCTTCAGTGGGTTGTTTGGGGCTGCTGCTATCTGTAGCTGGGGTAGCTGATTGTCTGCAGCTGCAAGGTGTGGATCCAGGTGCAAGGTCCTCATTAATCTGGCCAGTTCCTCCCTCACATCCATGTTGAAATTTAATATTTCTTGTGGGAATCCACACGGGCTTGGAGACGTTTTCTGGAAACACACAAGCGTATCCTCAACCAAATGTTGACAGGGGGTCGGGCCCCTTCCATAAACCAGACTCGGGATCTTTCCATGTTACTAGACCATTTTCCTTTGGCTTATTCTGACACCAGTGTATTTCTAAAGGTGTCTTGCCATCGGCATCACAAGTGAAAAAATTTAAAGCAATTAAGGCTTGGTGTAGTCTACTTACAGGCGATTTCTCCAAAATCCCCCCTTTTT